TCCCAAGTGTAGGAGTGTCGAAGTAATAAATAACCCGGCAAGACCGGGGTTGAACCACAAGGAAGTTAATTGTACAAATTATAAATAATAATAATACAACAACAATAACAATAATGATAATAGTAGTAGTAGTAGTAGTAGTAGTAGTAGTAATACTAATAATAATAGTAATAATAATAATAAAGAAAAAGAAGGAGAAGAAGAAGAAAAAGGTGAGAACTTTGAGATGAAATATTAATGTAAGGATTAAACAATGATAATAACAAGTGTCAAGGTTAGAGGTTCCACTAATGGTTTGTCAAACAAGTATAGTATAAACTCTTATTATTCAATTGAAAACCACACACAAAGGAGGTTCCAATCAGATTATAGATTGTTAACATGATTACATTAGTCATCTTATTCAATTAATGTTAATACTTGTAAATCTCGTCAAGCATTCATGATTATAACTTATGTTAACAACAAATCAAGTTCCTTCCATAGCTCAAGTGTCGGTTATACTATATAGTATGGGCTATGAAAGTGCCAAGCATTTGTTGTACCAAGTGTTATACAACATAAATCAAGATTAGTTATTTAACAAGCAAAGTATTAAAGAGTGAACAAGATAACAAATACAAAACATGTTAGTATCAAACATTAAAGTCCATATTAAGTTTACACTATACTTATTCTTACACCATTAGTGTAACCATTTTACCTTGACATAATAAACTTAGTTACACATAATGAAAGAAAGAAATATAAATAAACAAAATAAGAACATATATAAGATAAAAGTTAACTAAGTAAATGAAAGGAAATGAAAGGCATAAACTTGATATTAATGAAAGCAAAGCATAAACATTATAAAAAATACAAAGAGAGAAAGCAAGAGCATGATCTTGATCTAGAAACCAAGATGCCTAAATGCATGGAAAATGCCTCCTTTTATAGGCCAAAATTGGGAACTATTGATTTGATGACTAATTGATGAGTAGGTGGCCAACTCTTGACTTGGTGATATTCCTTATCTTCTCTTGTCTGCCAAAAACATCATTGATAACATCAAAATTAGAGCCACTTAATGAAAGTTGTAGGAAATTATCTCATCTTTCTTGTGTAAAAAATTCAACTCTTTTGGACTTCTAGAACTCCAGATATAGGTCAAACACTAAATAGTGCTCGGGCTGGAAGACAGATTCAGACTTCTTTGTTGTTGCTATCATTTGGACTTGCAAATGGCCTTTTTAGATATTGGGCTCCATATGAAAGTTGTAGGCCTATGTCTTACCTTTCCATCCATATAAAGTAGACCTAAATTGGATATCTACAGCTCTAGATATAATCCAATTACTAAACAGTGTTTTGATTTGGACTGCACCGACATCTTTTTTCTGAGTTTGGCCATCTCTTTGTCCTTTCAATTTCAGTTCTTAAATTCATCAATCAATCTATTCATTTATGTGATAGTCCTGCATTTAAAATGAACATTTACCACAAATTAATAGTATCTTATATTATTAGATATATTATTATAAAACATGCTTTAGTTATCTTATATTATTAGATACGTTATTATAAAACATGCTTTAGTTAAGGAGTTATTGATACTTCGAGTGCAAAATGATGATATAAAACCTTGATAAAAATGCACTTTTAAGTACTAATCAAACAACAACAATAATAATAATAATAACACTAAATACTAATAATAATAATAATAATAATAATAATAATAGTTGTAGTAGTAGTAGTAATAACAATAATAAAGAAGAAGAAGAAGAAGAAGAAAATGAGAACTTTGAGATGGAAGATTAACGTAAGGATTAAACAATGATAACAACAAATGTCAAGGTTAGAGAATCTACTAATGGTATGTTAAATAAGTATAGTATAAACTCTTATTATTCAATTGGAAACCACACCTAAAGAAGATTCCAATCAGATTATAAATTGTTAACATGATTACATTAGTTATCTTATTCGATTAATGCTAATACTTGTAAATCTCATTAGGCATTCATGATTATAACTTATGTTAACAACAAATTAAGTTTCTTTCATAGCTCAGGTGTCGGTTATACCATACAGTATGGGCTATAAGAGTGCTAAGTATTTGTTGTACCAAGTGTTATACAACATAAATCTAGATTAGTTATTTAACAAGCAAAGTATTAAAGAGTGAACAAGATAACAAATACAAAACATTTTAGTATCAAAAACTAAAGTCCATATTAGTTTACATTATACTTATTCTTACGTCATTAGTGTAGCCTTCTCACATTGACATAAAAAACTTAGCTAAACATAATGAATGAAAAAAAAATAAACAAAATAAGAACATAAATAAGATAAAAGTTAACTAAGTAAAGGAAAGGAATTGAGAGGCATAAACTTGATATTAATGAAAACAAAACTTAAGCATTACAAAATACAAAAAAAGAAAGCAAGAGCATGATCTTGATATGGAAACCAAGATGCCTAAATGCATGACAAATGCCTCCTTTTATAGGTCAAAATTAGGAACTATTGATTTGATGACTAATTCATGAGTGGGTGACCAACTCTTGACTTAGTGACAATCCTTATTTTCTCTTGTCTGCCCAAAATGTCATTGATAACGTCAGAACTGGAACTACTTGAAAACATGAAAGTTGTAGAAAATTATCATTTAGACTTCTAAAACTCCAGATATAGGTCAAACACTAAACAGTGCTCGGGCTGTATGATAGATTCAGACTTTTTTGTTGTTGCTACAATTTGGACTTGAAAGTGGCCTTTTTAAATCTTGGGCTCCATATACAAGTTATAGGCCTATGTCTTACCTTTCCATTCATATAAAGTAGACCTAAATCCAAGGTCTATATCTCCAGATATGACCCAATTACCAAACAGTGTTCCGATGTAGACTGCACCGACATCTTTTTTTTAAGTTTGGTCATCTCTTTGTTCTTTCAATTTCAGTTCTTAAATTCATTAATCAATCCTTTCATTAATGTGATAGGCCTGCATTTAAAATAAATATTTACCATAAATTAAAGGTATCTTATATAATTAGATATGTTATTATAAAACATGTTTTAGTTAAGGAGTTGTTGATATTTCAAATGCAAAATGATGATATAAAACCTTAATAAAAATATACTTTTAAGTACTAATTACTAAACTTGAAGGGAAAATAGCTATTTTTGTCCCTTGATCTTGAGAGGAGGGTTTTAAAGTTGTTGATAAGAACTATTTAAGAAGTTATTAGAGTGAGCATATGAAAAAATGGACAGTTTTTGATAAATGAGTGTCATAGTCTATAATGACTTGGTTGACCACTTTTGAGACTTTACTGGAGTAACTCCGAAATAAACATCAATGAAAACCACATGAAATTCATAAAGGAGGTGTATATATTTTGTTTGGATCCAACTTTACATAATTTGAAGATCTATAGCTTCAAATTCATTTATCTAAAGATGCCAACTCGATCAACCCAAAATCTAAAATTATAGTTCTTGAATAATATCCTTCAAGAAGAGGTTTATATTGAGCAACCACCTAGCTTTACTTATCATATTTTAGCATCTCATAAGTGTCATCTACATAAATCATTATATGATTTGAAACAAGTTCTTTGGGCATGGTATAATCAATTGAGTGATTATATGTTATCCATAGGATTTTATGTCTTTGAAGTTGTTATGCCTTTATTTATCCTACTTATGGTTGATGATATTGTCTATCTATTTGTGTATATCTTTATTTATCCTATACATTTTGCTTACAGGTTGTAACTTAACTTACCAAACTAATTTTGTTACTAAGCTTAAAATTGAAGCTTTGAGACCTCAGCTCCATCCATTATTTCTTAGGCATTAAAGTTAAACCAACATCTATGGGACTTCTTCTCACCCAATATAAATATGCTCTTGATATTCTTTACAGGGCAGATATGTTTTCTTGTAAGCCTATTAATACTTTAGTGTCTCCTTCTTATTCAAAGTTGGCCATATTATCTAGTGGTTTGTACTCTAGATCTACATACTATAAATAAATTATTTATGTGTCTTAGTGTCTTACCTTCACAAGGCTTGATTTGTGCTATGTTATAAATAAAGTATGTTAGTTTATGTATGCCCCCACTAAATCGCATCAGGTTGTCGTCAAGCATATTTTGCACTATTCAGAGGCCATGGTTTCCTATATGCTACACATCACTTAAAGTTTATCCCTATCTCTTCATCATTTTACTAATGTTGATTAGGCTACCAATGTTAATGATTGGAAATCTATAGATGACTATTTTATATTTCTTAGTACTACTCTTATCTCATGGAAATCAAGGACATAATAAATTGTTGCTCATTGTTTTACTAAAGCTGAATATAAACCCTTAACTGATGGTATTATTTAAATTTTATAGATTCACTGCCTGCTTTAGAGCTTTAGCTTCCTAGTATTTCTATAACTAGACTATAGTGTGATAACTTCGGTGCTACTTAATTTATAAGTCAACTCAGTTTTTCATGCTCGTACTAGTATGTCGAGGAAGACTATCATTTTGTTCATGATAGAGTTGTCAAGTAAAAGATTTAAGTTCACTTAATTTCTTCTAAGGATTAGTTTGTTGTTATTCTTACCAAACTGCTTTCTTTTGCTATCTTTGCTCATTTTTTATCCAAATTTCATGTGGAAGCTCCACCTTCACTTAGAAGGGATGTATTATAGAAAATACACTATTGAATTATAAGATAAAAATATAAAAAATTATGTTTACCTTGTATAGCATAAATCATGTGTAGGATGTTACACTCTTAATATTAATATTGTACATAACTCTAATTATATAAATATATAAAGAGGGTGACTAATACAATTGTTAACCCTCCAAACACTTCTTTTATTTAACTCTTAACTGATAGGAGGACTTAATTAAACATTATGTGGTAGTATAGGGACTAAATGGAATTGATTACCCAATTTTTGGTTTATAAGGTTTCTTATGGAATATAATTTACCACAGATTCGATTAATTATTCTTTGCAAGAAAGCCGTTCTTTTTCAAGTTCCCTTTACCAGGTTCCTAACTTTTCTTCTTGAATAAGAAAAGAAGAAAGTTCTGGTGTTACATAATGTCAAATGGAGACAAACGAAGAAAAATAGGAGAGATTTAGAGACTAGTTATCAAAAATGAACCCTCAACGGATTCCGTTTTCATGTTTCTCTGTTGGTTCTGTTACGACAACGTAACCCAGTTCGAAACCGGAGCGGTTGATGAAAACGAAATTCATTAGAAACAAGCGGTAAACACTTCATATTCTCTTTCATAGTTTATTACATCATACCTTTTCAAGGAGTTGCTTCTTTCTTGTTATTCTCCCACTCCACACATAATCAGAACGGTGTTGCCTGCACCTGAAGGATCCCGGGTGCCTCGTGGGTGAACACAAACACTTGTTTATCGATCTAGAAATAGCACTTCCGGCACCAGCAGCCACCTCTGTTCGTGCATGTGCAGTTTCTGTCTCAACTGCTTGCAAAACGAGCCTTCTCTGATACACCACCAAGTTCCTTTGGCTAACCGAAAGCTCACCAGGGTGACACATTTTTCCTTGTAACCTTTCTTCTGGTTAAGATTGTAGTAGGTATTTTTATTGTGAAGAGAGAGCTTGATCAAAAGAAAAGGAAAGAATCCGTGGTGTGTGAGATTTTATAAGAAGTAAAGAAAGGAAGCCTAAATAAAAGGTGTAAAGGAGTTGTAGGCAAGGGCGGATGCTTGGGTGTGCTTCAGCGCGTGTCAAGATTTTATTAATAATTTTTTGTCCAATTTTATGTAAAAAACAGTTCATAATTCTTCATTGAATTACTAAAAAATTTTAAAAATTTATATGAATTCTTCTAATATGATTTTTTATATTGCATTAAAATTTCATAACTTTTAGAGAAATTTATAAATTTAATAAAAAATTATAATTTGATCATTTTTATATTATTGAACGTAATTTTCAATTCGACTAGTAGATTGAGCTGAAATTTTACATGAGATTTTAAAATATATTAAATAAAATTTGGTTAAAATTTTAGAATGAACGGAGCTTGGTAGTGCTAACAAAAAAACCATTAAATAAAAAAATAATTTATTAAGAATAAAATGATTATTTATCATTAAAAAATAAAACAAATTAGCTCTTCTTTCCTTTTACATGTTCCGATTGGGCAGAAGTAGAATAGAAAAAGAAAGAAAAGAAAAGGCGAGAGAGAAAAGTAAGGGAAAAACATAAAAAAAATCCAAAGAAAAAAATAAAAAAAGTAAAAATAACTTTGTAAACTTATAAAGTCCAACTTATAAAATACTAGTTTAAGGAAGAATCAAGTGAAGAAATGAGGAAATGAGAAAGGAAAAAAATTAATTATTTTATTTTTTAGTTGACATGAGATTGTTATTTTATCTCAGTTGAGGGGTTGTTATAATATCAATTTAGATTCGATTATAAATTAATTATATTTCATAAAATATTGAAGGATGTAACTTTAATAATTGATTTATTTTATTTTTACTTGAATTTTATATATTTTTAAATTTATTTTTTAATATTTTAGAAAGTATATTTGAATTAAAACTTTATTATTAACTTTAAAAATTTATATGTTATTAATTAATATTAAAAAATTATATATTTATTTAATATTATATAACAGAAAAACTTTCTAACTCCATCCTTGAATGGAGGTTGATAATTCATTCCCGGAGAGGCCTTGCTCTTTGATTTCTTGCATTCGTGGGTTATCACTAACCTGAGTAAGGTATATGCTTTGGCTCATGAAACCACACCACCACCACTAATCAAAAAACAAACGGCCTAACAAGATAACGAAGCCGCAAATGCAAAAGGGAAGTGGCCAAAAACTATTCACCAGAAAAGTCAGGAGCTTCTAGCTGAAACGTGGCATAAAGATGCCATGTGGCTATGTGTGATGAGCCTGATTCATGCATGCCGCTTGTTGTGTCTCAAGTGGAAGGGTCCCATTCGAGCCAACGGTTTGTACTTTCATCTTTCTTTAGAAATTTGCTTGGTTTTGATTGGCAAAAAGTTGTTTGTTTCGATAATATGGTATGCTTAGCTTTGTGGCTGGAGTATGGGACTAGGCTGAGGTTTTGCATGAAATTGGACAATACGGATGCTTGCATAGTTGTCAGATTCTTTAACCATTTTCACGTGGTCTTTGACTTTTGCAAAACTGTGAGACGGTGCCTTTATCCACGATTCCACATCTGAGAAAAAAAGGAGTGAAACCCAACACGGCTTAATCAAATTCGAGGAAGCAAACAACTGACTCTGGCTCTGCCCTTTCTAGGACCAGCTCTTCACCCGTACCAGATAAAATATGGAAGTGGGCAATTTCTGCGTTTTCCTTTTCATTGAAATTCATTTTCAAGATCGGAAAAATTCCATGATTGATATTTTAGTGTATAATTTTTATATTTGATCAATTATTTATATCTGATATTAATTTTATTCATATAAAAACATATATTTTTTATTTATTTATAAAAACATTTTTTATTTTTGATATTAATTTATGTTTGATTAATAAGTTTGAAATAAAAAAAAAAATTTTTGATAAAAAATTATTTGGAAAGAAAATTATAAAGTGTTTATAATTATGAAAGTTTTTATTGTATCAAAATATTATTTTTAAATATTTTTATTCGATACTTTATTAAAATTAAAAATTAATTAAAGTAATTGAATAATATATTTTTTTTATAAAAGAAAATAATTGTTTTTTTTAGTTGAGGTATGAAGGATATGTAGAGTTAAAATATAAGTTTATGTAATTAACAAGTAAATTGAACTAATCTATATTAAGATTCTATATGGAGAGATCACTCATGTCCATGAAAATCTCATGTAATAGTTATGTAAATGATTTTTACACTTGAGATCATTAAGTTATTGTATATAGAAAATATTATTTTGTTATCTTAATTACACATTGCTTTAATCAAGGATAACAAATGAACAAATGTTATGTATAATATGAACTATATAAAGATATTTGAGTAATTAATAGAGAATTCATCACCCTGAGTGATTTAGAAAAAATTATCTTATACATTTTCAAATAGTATTGATTGGGAGATACTTGCGCAAGTTGGAATAAAAATTGAAAAGGTGTTTCAATCTCATTAAAATAATCAATTACTATAATGTTGAGAATAAAGATGATTTAATAGAGTAGACACACTCAATGCTCAAATATCTAAATCAAAAGATTTTTGATGAAGGGATTGTTAATGTATACATTGTTGAGTTTCTCGAAACACATACATACAATGGAAACTATAAAAAAAATTTAAAAAAAATTAAGAGTCTTAAGGATTCTATTAAACAGATATAAAGTTGTTTAGGGTTTTTGACACGATCAAAAGATTGATGTCTTTTCCCAAATGCAGAATATCGAAGTAATAAATAACTCGGCAAGACTGGAGTCGAACCATAGGGAGGTTAATTATATAAATTATAGATAATAATAATACAACAACAACAATAATAATAAAAAAAGAAGAAGAAGAAGTTAACAAGAACTTTGAGATGGAAGATTAACGTAAGGATTTAAATAATGATAATAACAAATATCAAGGTTAGAGGATCCACTAATAGTATGTCAAACAAGTATAGTATAAACTCTTATTATGCAATTGGAAACCACACACAAAGGAGGTTCCAAACATATTATAAATTGTTAACATGATTACATTAGTTATCTTATTAGAATAATGCTAATACTTGTAAATATTGTTAGGCATTCATGATTATAACTTATGTTAACAACAAATCAAGTTCCTTTCGTAACACAGGTATCGATTATACCATACAGTTTGTGCTATGAAAGTGTCAAGTATTTGTTGTACCAAGTGTTATACAATATAAATCTAAATTAGTCATTTAACAAGCAAATTATTAAAGAGTGAACAAGATAACAAATATAAAACATGTTAGTATCAAACATTAAAGTCCATATTAAGTTTACACTATACTTATTCTTACACCATTAGTGTAACCTTTTCACCTTGACATAACTAACTTAGCTAGACATAATGAAAGAAAAAAAAATAGATAAA